GCTTTTGGTGGCTTTTGGCTTTTGGCTTTGGGTGGCTTTTGGCTTTTGCTGGTTTTGGCTTTGGCTGGCTTGTGGCTTTTGGCTTTTGCTGGCTTGTGGCTTTTTACAGCTGTGCTGCTTGCAGTGGCCTGCGTTTTTAACGCAGTGCTGTTGCAAGTGGCCAGCTGCAGTTGTGTTGAACTGGTGTTGACCGCAGTGTTGTTGCAGGTTGCCAGCCGCAGCTGTGCTGCTTGTGTACGATGTATACATAAATGCAGATTTGAAGAACACTGTTTCATATTACTGTGTACACACACACATACATTTGTACATCATTTTTCATGTGTCTCTCTCTCTCTCTCTATAGAGCCATGTGGTATATAGACGTGCGAGTACACCTGAAAAGTACCTATGCACAGGTATGTATATATATATATTTGCATGCGGATGTGTTTTGCAGTGTGATTATGTTTGGAAGGTTTTTGCCCAGGTAGTACGGGGGCATACTATTTTTTCATTTGGTCAGTGGCACGTGCTTTGGCGGAATATCCAGAACAGCGCAGAACCAACAGTCTCTTTTAAGTGTTTGCTGACGCTTTCGTTTATTTCTATCAGAGGGAACTTCCGGAAAGGATCACTATGATAAATTATCGAATTTTGATAAACAATGTGGGTTTATTTTCCTGATTCCTTCGTGGCATTGAAGCTGCCCGGCGGTTTGTTGCACCATCATCAATTCGACTTGCGGATTGGGCACATGTGACAGGAGCAACTTCTGCTGGACCTCTGGATTTCACGGTCTCTTGCACAAAGAATTCCCCGGTGCATCGCACGCAGCACTCATCCCGGTCAGTGCAATGGCGCTGTATTTCCAAGCAATGGACTTTGCACCTCTTTCATGCCTTCTGGACGGCCTTTTTTGCCCATGTGGAAATCCAAGGGCATCAAAGAGTGGTTGCCAAGCTGCAGAAACAATACAACCAACTCACTATGCCCGGCGCAGGTGCAGGCTCTGCGGAGTCTCGGTGTGGCCGGACCCATGCACTTCCAATCCTCTCTTTAGTCAAAGTCAAAATCCCTCAGCAACCCGCGACCCTGCGCCGAAGTTTCCAAGGCACCGCCGCCAGCGCCGGCCAAAAGCAAGTACAAAGCTCCCAATTCTCTGCGCAGACTGGCGCGTTTTCATTTTTGTGTTCTCCAATATCAAAAAGCAGCTGAAAATCTGCAACCTCAAGCTTCCAAGCTGATCTTCCAAGTTGGTCGCGCGTTGAGTCAGAAAGTCAAAGCAGGCAATTTCCCGTGAACACAGCCAAATGTGAACTTCCGTGTTGTCATTGAGCAAAAAGCTGAAGAACACCGGCCCCCAAAGCTTCGAGTTTGCTGGACATGCAGGCATGTCATGTTCCAAAATGAAGTAATGACAGGAAGCAAAAAAATGCTAATGCGCCGCAAAGACCACCAAACCTGCGCCGCAATGATTCCAACATGAAGTCAACGCCAGCACATGTCGAAATCAAAACAACTTTATGTGTGGCAGATACCGCAGAATCTCAAGCGTGATTTCTCCAAAATGTTGGAAATACCAACAGAAGTAAAAACAGTAAATTCCACAAATGTTGTGCGTCACTTCCTTTTCCTTTTCTTTTCCTCGTCTCCCCTTCCCCTACCCCTTGCCTTTTCATTTTCCTTCACCTTTCCAGTTCCTTTTTCATTCTTTTCTTTTCCCTGTCCCTTTCCCTTATACACTTCCCCTTCCCTTTTCCTTTTCTTTTCCCTCTTCTTTTTCTCTTTCCATTTCCTTTTCGCTTTCCCTTTCCTTTTTTACATTTCCGTTTATTTTCCATATTAAGACAGAAGCCAAGAGCAAGCAAAAAAACACAATGCAAGTTAAATCGAAATTAAAATCCGAACCTTCCAAATCTGCCAAGTGATTTGACTTGACCAGTTTTCTGACGCTCTATCTGCCAGTCCGAGTCCGAGGCGCGGATCACCGAGAGGCCGTGGAGCGCACCTTCTGCGCAATGTGGGTGTTGGAAGGACGCCCTTAATGGGTCAAACTGTGTTCACAATGAAGCCATCCAGTCACCTGGCTTGTGGCGTGCGTAGTGGTTGATTCAGACTCGGGTTTCGTTTTTTTGCATTGGTGTTCCGCCACCTTCCCACCGCGGCTTCTGCTTTGAACATATAAACTGTTGCGATCCCGGAGCTGATTACATGTTTCCTGAGTGCGTAGCAAAGGGTTCTCATTGTGACGTTGATTTCATTTTTGCAACCGTCTGGCGTCTTACCAAAAATGCGCAAAAGAGTGCCCCGCACGAGTGCCCCAAGAGAGTGTCCTAGAAGAGTGTCACCCCATAATGTCCTTCAAGAGTGTTTTTGAAGAGGGTCCAAGATTGTTAGGAAGCGGTCGTTGTGTATGTGTGTGCATTCGGTCCGTGAGCTCCACTGGCTCCAGCTTGTTTCGTCTAGCGCTGTCCGGTGTAGAGCTTTTTTGGCCCGAGAGTGGCTGCGCGATAAGCGCCGCTAAAGTCGTGCGCAAGGTTTGGACGGGCGGCGCCTCTCGTGGTCAAAGGCTGAGGAGAACTTGCCCTACGCCTACAGAAGCAGGCCGTTTGACAGCCTCAGTCACGTCCACGGAATCGACGAGGGCAAGTGGTTTCAGCGTTCTTTGAGTGCTGGGTCTTGCCTGTGCCAGCCTTATTGCAGACATGCAAGATGACCAAGACCCAGCTGCCTATGAATCCTTCTGTCAAGGGAGCTCATGAGAAGGATGCTGCAGCTCCCCTAATAGGGCGGCCAGGAGTGCTGTCGCAGAGCTTCAAAAAAAGCATCATCGACAGGCACTGCTTAGAATAGCAGCTCCTGGGAACTCCTACAATGTGCAGGCCAGGTTGCGTTTAGGCCTTGGCCACGATATCCCTGAGCCAGCAGGACATGCCGCACCAAAAACAAAGTTGAAAGGCAGCGTGGGTGCGGTTGATCAAGCGCGTTTGGATGCAGATCATCAGAGACGCTTGGCGTCCATTGAAAGATTCGGCCCGGATTTTGCTCGTCGTCGTTTTCAAGCAGAACGTGCTGCGGACGAACGCGACGCTGCATTTCCTTATCTTGAGCAGGAAGGCGAGCAAGAAGTGAGTGCTTTGAAAGTTTCACTCAGTGCTACTGGCCAAGTTCCCTTCAAAGTCCTTGAGCCTGTCCAAACTACAGATTGTGCGGGAGGAAATAGGATAAGTTTGGGGTGGCGCACAGCCTCTACGACCCATGTGACCCTTGCCATTTTGCACCATCGTCCGGCCTGACCTCCAAGCTACCAAGTCTTGTCAGGTTCGCTTACCTTGCCAGTAGTGGACAACCTTTTTTCACCTTCTTAAGGGATTGCAGTTTGGGTCTGTGGCGGGTATTGTCTGTAATCTTTTTGGCAACTGTTACTTATAAAACTATTTATGCAAAGGTTTTCAAAGGAGTATTGGAACATATTTAACATTATAAACGCACACGTTGGTAATGTTCTAATCTTGTGAAATCGGTGGACACCTGCTCAAGGCAAGGTGGCTTCAAACACTTGGCTAGCCTGTGGTGTTGTGGAACAACTTGTGAACACATAGGGCGTAGAACGTCGTACCATGACTGGTGTCCTTGGAGAATGCAAGATATTCGTTTGCGCTGGCCTTGGAAAATACAAGATACCCGTGTTGGTAGTTTTCCCCAACAGCGAAGTTTTAGGGGTCTTCAGCCACAGCACAGACTTCGGAGCAGCGTGGCAGGTTCCGGGGCAGGTTCCGGAGCAGGTTCCGGAGGAGCTTCCGGAGCAGGCTCCGATAAAACGTTGTAGCGCATCAGCTTCCATCTCTCCACGGTATGGCACTACTTGAATGCTGGTAGGATCTGGTAAGCCGCAGTGTTTACCTGGGCTTGCCCAAAAAAGTTTTGATTGATGCTTTTGCGACGTAGTGTCTCAAGAGCACGCAACATGTTTCTAGCTGTTGGGGAATTTCCTTGGCCAGGCTTACTGTAATTGGTGTAAAACTATGTAACACTAGTTTTGGCGGCGCGTGAGAAACTTGAACATAGAAAAGTTTTAGCGCGCACACATTTCCAAATTGTGTTGTGGTCTGTAACTTTGTAGAAAAGTTTCAGCGCGCACACATTTCCAAATTGTGTTGTGGTCTGCAACTTTGTAAAATCAAAATAGTATAACATAGTGGACTAGAAAAAACATTCTTTGTGGGGGCAAGCTTTGAAAATGCTATAGCATTATGTAACGCTATTCTTAAGTGGTGCATTTATATAAAACATTCATTTTCTAGGATTTTTTCTCAAAGATGGTGTAAGCATAGTGAAACAAAGGAAAACCTTTTGTAGTTGTGCATATTGAAATAAAACATGTATAAAAATCCAAAAATTGTGTAGCGTAGTGTGACTGGAAAACATGAGTCTATTTTTGGCAATTTTCAAGTTGCTACAACATAATGTAGCGCTATTCTCAGTTGTACATAGTGAAGTTCATCAAATAGAAAAATTAAACATTCATTTTTCTGGAATTTTGTTCGTGTGTAACGATGAAAATAATGTAAGCACTATTTGTTGAACATTTCGATAATGCTACAACACTATGTAACCGAGGTGGAAAAACATGGCGCCAGTGGCTGCAGTTTGTGCGCGCTTTGGTAGTCACCACAACCTACCATTTTCCTCATTTCCGTTGAATCTTACACCACATTTAAAACAATTTTTTTCTACCATTTCCCGCAAACTCTATGAGCATACCAAAAAACATGTTTCAAGTTCTTGCAGACCTTGATGAAGACACCATTGACACAGAGCGAACTGCAATTTATACGGTCCACCTTTGTTTTCAGGGAAACCTAAGGGAATCAGAAGCCGGTTTTCGGGCATTGGTCGGGGTTCCATCATCAAGGAGTTCCTTTTTGGCCACGCGGTGTTTGTTTTTTCACCATTCCGTGAAGTTCGTGCTCATGGGCCGCCGCCCAAGGGACAACCACCCGTGGACCACCCGTCAGGAAGTGCCGATCAGCTTGCTGGAAAGCATCAAGGGCGCCATTCTGGGCTTCTTCGGGGGGATTGCAGGTGCCCAGGCCAGATGATGGAGTCAAGGATCATACAGGACAATGTCTTTTGTACCTAGAACCCAGACATGACCCGTGTTTTGACAGAAGGGTGGTTGATGTTCCCAAATAGAGGCCACTCAGGTATTGGCCGAGGTGGGAACCCAGTTGTCCTTGTGCTGTTCCAATTTCTCACCGTGAAGGCATTTGTGGCGCCCCAACCAAAGTCGGGATTCACATCTGTGGGCAGTTGCGAATCCAGGGAACTTGGGAGGGTTTTGGCTTTCAGGTTCACGTGGAATCGAACCTGGAATCAAGTTCAGCTAAAAAAATACAAGTCTTTGCTGGGTCTAAGATGGGTTTTCAGGGTGTTTGATCGTGAGGGGGTCCCAAGAACTCAGCAAGAAGAGATAGCTTGAAGTGTGTCGTTTTCAACACGGGTTACATTTTCCACATCTTTCCTTTGGTTTCCGGAGGCATGGAGGCTCTTAATTTTCATCCTCAAATGCGATGAAACCTCCTTCTGGTTGCGCAGAAAAGGCCAACTGAGTAGAGGAACACCACTTGGAGTGAACATGTAGGAGTGGGTTCTACTAGGAGTTACTAGGTCCTGCTGGTAGATAGAAAAGAAATGTAAATAATATACAAAAAACGTGTCAATCATGAAAATGGCAGACGCAGAGAAGGCACCAACCAGTGCATCCTGAGGTCCGCAAAAGACAGGGATGGCTTCAAGACCCCTGCCCAACCAAGACCATCTATTGACCATCTCAAAAATAATCAAACCTCCAACCAACAAAGAGTCCTGGCCAAGGGTGCTTTGTAGAGGCTTCCTGACGCCTGACAATGTATTTTCATCCAACAACCACCCCAAATAGATGATGTTGGCAGCTCTGTTTTTTTGTTTCTTTCTTCACCTCGTAATCCACCAACAACTGCGCACGTTCCTCTCTTTTTTTTCGGTTCGATCGATTCAGACGAACCCAGGTGCGATCCAAGGGCGCTTCGAGGAGATTGGCCAGGCGTTTTCGTTTTCGCCGAATCCTTCGTTTTTTGGCAGAGACCATGTTCGCCCCTTTCTTTGTGTTCTTTCTGATGCTGGAAGCTTCGACCAGGCCATCGTGGACACTCCCAAGATGGCCCAAAAGGAGGCCGAGCGCTCGAGGGCTGGAACCGCACCCCGGAACCTTCCGCAGCGAGCGAGCGATCGGCGCAGCTTCACGCGGGTTCCACCCGTCCGCGTCCGGTTTGGTACCGCGTTGGGAGAAGCGCTGACACCGCGCGTTTCGGGGTGTGGAAGAGAATGGACGGACTGCACGGGGGCGGGGAAGGCACATGACTCCGCGTATCTCCCGAAACTTCACCCCAAGCTGGACGTGGAGAATTCTTTTTTTTGGGTGGGTTCAACATGGTCCGCCGCTTCGTGCTTGCCATGGTCATCGCGGGTTCACCGAGAGTTCGTCCGTTTCCGTCGAAGCCCGTTGATCTCTCCCGCTTCAAAGCTCGGTGCAAAGTCGGTGTTGCGAGCTGCGCAGGCGAAGTCTACGGGTTCCGAAAAACCTCAAAGCTGCCCAACTCAACTCCTGAGGGCTCTTTTTTTTCACAAAAGCGACAAGGAGAGGTATCGGCAACCAACCAAAGGTGTGGCATTTTCCACTGGGTTGTGTACAAATACCTTGGACTATCCAACCATGCGGCAGGGGTTCACAATGGACTACTGTACCCTCTGTAGACTAATCAAGTGGATCTCCACTCAACACCCTCTACACCGCTTGGGAAAGTCTATCTATATACATCTAAAACCTGAGTGATGATGTTGGAGTACCAACCAAACGACATGTGGCCAAAGTTTCAAAAAAGGGATCAGATGGGTGATCAGAATTCCCATGTAAGAGGGGAAAAACGCTGAAGGTGAACCCCAGTCCCGATACTGACCCTCTGCAGCTGGGGGATTCGATGGGAGATTCCTCATCGGACCCAGCATCGGACGACGACTTCCACCCTGATTGCAGCAGATCCCATGGGGCGCGCAGGTTCCGCCGGAATGGTCGTGGAACCGTCGTTGCCACCCTGGTGAGGTGAGTGATGGACTGGTGAAGATCCCAGGTCGTGTGCAGGATGGTGTGAGCCAGGCGCGGTTTCAGATTCTCGTGGCGAACGGGCAGTTCTCGTGTTTCGCGGTGGGTGGGCGAGCGACGAGAACACGCGGCATTTGTTTGGCGACACCCACGACCATTGGATGTTTCTGAACAAAAAGACACCACACACTTTTCTTTTTTTGATTTCCACCTGGAACCCCAAACAACCAGAAAGAAATGGATGTTTCAGGCATGAGATGATGTGACTGATCTGACTTGTTTCGGTCCCGAAAGATGTCTGAGTCTGGTTCAGTTTCTGACGCCTTGGTCGGTGGGAAGTGCCGCGAATGGCCGGGCTTACCCGACGCTTTTCTGTTTTGGATCCAGGAAATCCAAGACAGACGTGAAGGTTTGGTGGAAGGGTTCCAAGTTCCGACTGTTCTGTCTTCGCCAAAGAGAAGAAGAGAAAGAAGAGAAAAAGAGAAGAAGAGAAAAAGAAAGAGAAAAAGAGAAGAAGAGAAGAGATGTCGTGGTTGTTTTCCTTTTTCCCTCATCCTACAGACATGTCGCTATTTTGTTTGATTCCCCGTGCTCCGAGTCAAGGTTTGATCCATCTCTCTCTCTCTATCTTTTTGCAAGAAGAGTCCCAACTCGCCTGGGAAGAATCAACTGCGCACATGTGCCGAAGTGAGTTCTGGGATAAAAGCGATGTCAAAGCTCAGCATTGGTTGAAGCAGAAGAAACATCTTTGGGAATGGTTTACAGCTTGGCTCTTTTGGGATTGCTTTTGATGGACCAGCGTGACAGGTTGACAGAGAGTATACAACTGGCAGAGAACGCGTAAAGAGTCAGGATGAGACTTAGCTGTGTTTGTACACACCCAACAGCTTGTTGGCTTCGAGACTTACCGGACCATGGACCAGCCGGTGGACCTGTTTCAAAGAGCTTGTGACTGTGGGGTCATGGCACCCGCCTCTTTTTCCCGAATGCGTAGCGAAGGGTTCTCGTTTAACTCTTGGGGGTCTGGGGGTAGAGCCTTGTTCGCGACCCGTTGCTTCTATGTTCGCAACCGTCCGCAACCGTTCGCAACCGTCCGCAACCGTCCGCAGTAGAGCGCTAAGGCGCTGCCATTGGGGGAAGCTTTTGCAAGTGACCAGGCATGGATGTGTCATGTGTTAGTTTGCGACGCGAGTCCATTGTGATTTGCGTGAAAAGGACATGTCGCGCAAGAAGCGTGATGCATTTCGCTGCACAGGCGCAGCGTTTTGTGAGATCCGCAGTTTGCTACGCAGTTCCATTGGGATTAGCGTGTGGAGAGTCGTGTTTTTGGGGTGTTGGATGTGGCCGTGCCATTGGGATTTGCGTTTCAGGGTGTGGCATCGAAGCTCTGTTTTCGTGACAAGTCTCAGCTGAAATGCCGATTGGACTCTGGGAGTGTGCTCAGAACGGGTCGAAATCATTCCAAACGTGTGGTGTGGTGCAAATTTTGTTGAAGCTCACATGAGATGACATTGTTACTTTTCGTGGCAGGCGCAGGACTTTGTGCGGGTTTTGAGGTGTGGAAGTGGGATTTTCGTGGCAGGCGCAGGGAATCGTGAGGTTGCGATGTGTGACGGAGGTGACATTTCGTGACAGGCGCAGTACTTTGTGCGCGTTAGACGTGTGGACGCGGAAAGATTCGTGGCCGGTGCAGGGAATCGGGAGGTTGTGAGTTGTGGTAGAGGTGAATGTCGCTGTCACATTGGGATTGGCGTTTGAGCGGGTGTTGTTTGGAGGGACTGGACTCGCGAAACTGCTTGGCAGGGTTGCGTGATGCGTGTGCTCCGATGGGTGCTGCCGCTGGACTTTTGGAGGAAGTCTCGTACGAAATGCTCGTTTTGCAGACTTTGACATGTGACTTTTGGAGGAGTCTCGTACGAAACGCTCGTTTTGGAGACTTTCGGAGGAAGTCTCGTACGAAACGCTCGTTTTGGAGACTTGACGTGTGACTTTGGGAGGAAGTCTCGTACGAATAGTGCCCTACAAGAGTGTCCCACAAGAGTGTCCTACAAGAGTGTCCCACAAGAGTGTCCTACAAGAGTATCCCACAAGAGTTTCGTACAAGAGTGTCCTACAAGAGTCTCCCTTAAGAGTGTCCCGCAAGAGTGTCCTACAAGAGTGTCCCACAAGAGTGTCCTACAAGAGTTTCCTACAAGAGTGTCCGACAAGAGTGTCCCACAAGGGTGTCCCACAAGAGTGTCCTACAGGAGTGTCCCACAAGAGTGTCCTACAAGAGTGTCCCACAAGAGTGTCCTACAAGAGTATCCCACAAGAGTTTCCTACAAGAGTGTCCCGCAAGAGTCTCCCACAAGAGTGTCCCACAAGAGCGTCCTACAAGAGTGTCCCACAAGAGTGTCCCGTATGAGTGTCCCACAAGAGTGTCCCACAAGAGTGTCTCACAAGTGTGTCCCACAAGAGTGTCCGACAAGAGTGTCCCATACCCACAAGAGTGTCCTACAAGTGTGTCCCGTAAGAGTGTCCCACAAGAGTGTCCTACAAGAGTGTCCCACAAGAGTGTCCTACAAGAGTGTCCCCCAAGAGTGTCCCACAAGAGTGTCCCACAAGAGTGTCCTACAAGAGTGTCCCACAAGAGTTTCCTACAAGAGTGTCCCACAAGAGTGTCCCACAAGAGTGCCCTACAAGAGTGTCCCACAAGAATGTCCCACGAGAGTGTCCCAACAGAGTTTCCTACAAGAGTGTCCCACAAGAGTGTCCCGCAAGAGTTCCCTACAAGAGTGTCCCACAAGAGTGTCCTACAAGAGTGTCCCACAAGAGTGTCCTACAAGAGTATCCCACAAGAGT